GAGTTATTGTTTCTGTGTTTCGTTTCTTGGAGTTTTGGGTTCTAGTGTTCCACTTCTTTGAGTTTCTGCTGTTTTCTCGTGATCTTTCCGGAGAGTTGCAGGTTGTAGGGTTTTGTTGGTTTCAGTTCCAGGTCACTTAAACTGTATTACTGGATTTCACGAGTCTTTGATTAGGGTTTCTCTGGAGTTGCAGGTTCTAGGGTTTCTTTGGAGACTTGAAAGTTCGAGGGTCTTGGTTTTCTTGAATCCCATGTTCTTGGGCCGTGGTGGAAAATTTTTGGGTGTCCTCCCTGGTTATTGCAGGTTCTTGGGTTTCATCTCTGCAGGTTTGGGGTTGTAGGGTTTCTTTCTTATTAATTGCCTGTTACTTCGCTATGTCTCTGGCTTTCGAAAGCAGTCGAGTTGATGAATCACGGTTAATGAGGCCATGCATGAGTGTGTTTTCCCCAAAGGGTTCGAACCCACCAGATCATTGCCGGAAAATGACCGGAATCCGACAAGATTTGCCTCAGTTTGGCCCAAAAGATGAGGAATCCTCCTCTTGTAGCTCTTCTATTGGCCGGTATAGTAGCTCTAACGGTGCTTCGTGCTCTGATGGAGAGTACTCAGGCGAAGCAGAGGTTCAGAGCCCGTATAAAGGGCCACTTGATACCATGGATTCTTTGCAGGATTCATTACCCATAAGGTATGATGAAATTCTGTTTCCTTCTTTTTTTCTCATATGAATGCTTACTGGTCTCTTGGTAAATTGTGTTAGACTAGCGTTATTTTTCATATTGATTCTCAATTGATCTTAGGTAAGTTTGGAACCATCGGTTTTGGTTCCTTTTAGGGCAATTGGTGATAGGAATAGGTTTTGATTTGTATCTTTTCTTCTTCCTTTAATGTTACTGGTTAACTGAAATTTACGGAAACATTTCATAATGAAGTTAGGAATAGTTGTATCGGAGATAAATTTATGCTTTCTGTTATCCTTCGTCTTCTCAGAAAAAATTCCATGGATTTATTAATTTGCTTTCGGATTTGTTTTTCATTTTTATTTGGCAATTCGTCTTCGGATCATAGGGTATTCGTCTTCAGGTGATAGGGTTTTTATTTGTTTATTTTCGACTTTACTCTATGGTATCAGGATAAATGAATTGTATTGATAAAGTCCTTCTTTTGTTCTTTCTTTCTTTTTTCCCCTTTTTTTTTTTATTTTTTGAGTTATTGTAGTTTCCTCGCATTTCTTTAATGGCTGATAATTTTGGAAATTCTGAGATGGATCCATTAATGCTCTTGTTGCGTAGGTTTGGCATCAATGTTAGGCTGCTGTTTGTCTTTGGCCTTTTCTTTTTTCCTTCCATTATTGCTTATTTAGGGTAATTGTGGTGGATTGGTTGTTCAGTTTTCTTTTTTTGGCAGTTGGTGTTGGGGTTAGTGTTTTTCTTTTTCTACTCTCTCTTTTACTCCTTCCCTTTCTCTTTTACTCCTTTCCTTTCTATTATAAGGAATGATGCTCTTTATCTTCTTTCTTGGAAACGGGATTGGGATTGGGTTAATGGAATTTTCTCGTGTTTGTTTTTTTCTTTTAATTGGATAGTCACAATGAAACTATGATGCGGAGGGTTTACGAATCATCTTATCAGTAAATAAGGTGTAGGTAGACCTGTGGAAATTTTATTTTCTTTCTAAGTAATGTTTTAAGGGATATTCGAATTTGGGGTGGGGATTGTTCTCCCAGTTAAAATTGTCTGTTCAATGTAACAGAAACGATTCTTCCTCTATTCCAAATTATTTGTTAGTTGGTATTTTCAGTCTGCAATGTTAGAACTTGGGTTGGAGTTTTTTTTTCATAATTTATATTTACCGTATTCACATTGTGTGTATGAAAAGTCATAGATCTGAATGCTTCTTAGGAATTTTTTGGATTAGTAATGATAGGGTGGTGCAAGAAACTAAGATTTATTATTCTTATTATATATATACTAAAATTTGCGTAGAATAAAGGGACAAGAACCTTCTTAATATTTAGAAGTGCAGGTGCTGCAAATTAAACGCTGTTTAAGATAGTCATCAAATATTTCATAACTTGGTTATGACCAAGAAAGACCATAATGGTTTGTCATCCCTATAATAAAATTCTTTCCTATTGGATTGTCATGACAAAAAGGCACCATTTTAAATTTGAGGGTTTTTTGTAGTTCCTTAATGTTTTACTGCTGTTGTGGATTGAGGAGGCATGGTGTTTTTGCTTGCGTGATTTTCAGGTGTTCTGCTTGAAACTAAAGTATATTTTTTCAATCCATTTACATGGGTTGAGTCTATTATCCGTCCTGTGTGATTATCTGATACTTATATTGCCAATATGCCATACAAACTTCCAACCTCCTGGCCTCTTGCAATCAAGTTATGGAGAGTAGTTGCAAAAACTGAAAGTTGTTTTAGTTCACTTCATGGCCATGAATGCTCATGTAGTTGAATTACTGTCTTTCAAAAAAATGGTACGTTTTTCTTATTTGTTGATGGTCAATTAAGTATTGCTTGTATTTTGAATGCTTTCCTCCTGTCGACAATATATAGATCAAAACCGGTAAATAAATATGGGATTTGTAATTATATGTATTGATTTCAAAAGCCATTTGATTAGTCAGCCGACAATGGAGGGCTTCTGAATTGTGTTTTCTATAATTATTTCTCTCGCATGGTACCTTTGTGCTTACAAATTCCATTGGTTTTCCTTTCAGGAAGGGCATATCAAATTTTTATTCTGGCAAATCAAAGTCATTCACGAGCCTTTCTGATGTCGTGTCCTCAAAAGAACTAGCCAAGCCAGAGAGTCCATACAATAGGAAGCGCAAGAATCTTTTGGCACACAATATTATTGGTGATAAGAGCCGCTCTTATTCCACAAGAAACACAGGTGGCGGGATATCTAAGAGACCTACAAATTTTAACCGAACCACTTTGGCTCTGGCAGTGGCGATGAGCAGTTCAGACAGCAACAGCAGTGATGATCACGAGCCCAAGCTACCTCCATTGCACCCAAGGCTTAAATCCCACAGCAATTTCTCACCACCAGAGTGGTCTTTTCCTTCAAGGTCTTTCTCCTTGACCGATTTACAAGGCGCCAATTCACCGGTGAGCCCTGAAGAGCGATATAAGAAGTTTCACTAGCTGACCCCAACCTACCCTTTCTATGCTAGCGATCTTCATATGAAGTTCTTACTCTGGTGAGGAGCTGTAAAGATTTTCTGTGCCTTTCTATATACCTACTATTGATTTCGAATTGGGTAGCTAGGACCTGCCAGGTACTGGATGGTTCGAGCTCTTGTTGTAGTAATTATTGGCCAGCCCTTGTTTCTTTTTGTATCTTTCTTTTTGTATCCCATGCTCCTTGTTTCAGCATTTGGGGAACTTATATCTATTACAGCAATACAATCCCTTCTCTTTTTTCCATGTCTCCCTGGCTCATTAGAATCAAATGCTTAAAACTAAAGACAAGCAATTGGTAGTCTGCAAATAAACTTTGCATATATATTATATGCATGGAACATGAATGATTCTTCTCATTCCTCGCATGTAGTCTCTCGCACATTTGTAGAAAACAATCGACATGCACGGATACAGGCGTATATCTGTGCATGTCTCGATATGCTCCATATTTGTGTGTGTATATGAGGCGAGAGGGAGAGAGAGAGACACTGTAAACTATATCTAATGGGGTTACAACTAAATGGGGTTATTGTGAATAATGAGGAGTTTATTCTTCTGATTTTTACACTGTAATCTTTCATCCCTGTTCCATTCGTTTGTTCTGGGCCTTTCCCTGTGTCAGTGATTTTTGTTATCTTTTCATTGCATAGACATTACACTAAAATTCTTCCTCACAGTAACTTCTCAGAGATTCTCTCTAGTAAAAAAACAATCTCACAGAATTGCAGGCTCCTGTGTTTTATGATTCCCCAGATGAATTTTTTATGTGAAACCCTTGATGCCAGGGATTGCATGAGTTTTTCTCTCTCTCTCTCTCTCTCTCTCTGGCAACCATTAGTTGGATTGTAGAAATTTGAGTTTGTGGATTGTTGTTTTTCTTGGCATGGTCACAGGTTTGCTGGACTTTCTCAGTCTAACTTCCACCTGGTTTCCTTGGATGTCTTTTACTTGTGCATATATGACCCCTTATAGGATCAGGGACCAATGATGAATCTTCTTTAGCATTGACTCTCTCTCTCCCTCTGGGTATCTTCTTTGCATTGATTCGTTCTCTCTCTCTATGGATTCCTTCTTTGCACTCTCTCTCTCTCTGTCTCTCTCAATACCTTCTTTGCACTCTCTCTCTCTGTCTCTCTCAATACCTTCTTTGCACTCTCTCTCTCTCTGTCTCTCTTCCCCCCTCCCCCCACCCCACAAATTATATTACAGTTTTGTTATGGGTAAATATGAATGTATGATGGTTTCTCATTGGAATATTCATTTCAAAGGTATATATATACCTTGACTCCAATTTGATACTCTCTGCGCTTGACTTTGAAGACAAAACTTAGTGTTTTTATACAGTGAAAGACTCAAAAGGAGGCCATTCTTATCCTATTTAGTATTTGGGTGTGCCAACAAATGAATATAAGAAAGGTGGCCATTCTTATCCTCAGCCTTGTGAACCAAGTCTTTATATCGGCTTTGTTCACTTGTTGCCTGAAATGGAACTCTTGTATTAAAAAAATGAGTTTTTTTGGTTGGGTTCTGATCTGATGTGGACCCCAATTGGGTGCTTCCAATTGGGAGCTTCTTGCCTGTGGTCCTTTTTGGCCTGTGGTGGGAAACTGAGTGGAAGTATTGTCAAAGTGGTGGCGGTAAGAATGTTCCTTCAAACTCTTAGTTTGATTTGCAATGGAAGGCAATCAAATCGTGAGTGCTCTCTCCCTCCATTTGACCATTGCTAACCATTTGTATGTTTGTTTGTCAAACAACACTTCAAGGCATTATTTTTGGATAGAAAAGGGCAGGCTTTCAATGTTTTCCCTGCACCATAAAACTTATATACTTCTCCTTGTCCAACCTCTATAAAAGTGCTTCATCCCTGCATCATAAAACTTGTATACTTCTCCTTGTCCACCCTCTGTAAGAGTGCTTCAATCCCAATGTCATGTCTTTATATTATTTTATTTTTAAATTTTTTTTCTATAAATTATTTTGACACCAAGTTTTGGACGTCTTATCCTCAATTAAACTCGCATTAGTCAAAAATATTAAAAAAAATATTTCTAATAAAATAAAATGATCAAAATACTTTTGAAAGTTTCGAGAGATATTTAGGTCATGATATTTTATTGAAAAATTATTTTTAATATTTTTTATAGGTGTGCCCCAATGAGAATGGCATATACCAAATTCCATATTCATACAATTTGTATAAAAAAAACTAAAACTAAAATACTTTGAGACGACGGATCTAAGATCAAAAAGTGAGTGGCTCTCTTGATCAAAATTGGACGGTTGGATGGTAGGAGAAGTATAAATCTTCTACGTTGTAGAGGAAGTATAGAAACATTTCCCGATAGAAAAGTAATTTAATATTTTAGCTGAATCAAACTTTAAATTTTTTTAAAAATAATAATATAAATAATATATATATATATATATTAAAATAATAAAAATTTTAAAAATAAATATATTTTAAAAAAGATAATTACGTCTTTGGTTTAATCATACCGAAGCAGCCCATAGCAAGCCAAGCGGATGTACCAAGACTTCGTCTCGCTTTTGTCCAAGCTGAAAATTAGAAGATTTGGGCCTCTTCTACTTAAGTAAATGGAATATGATAACACTCCGAGGAAGTCCTGCTCTCCCCCTTCTGGGTGAGATTCGTATAAGTTGCCCACCTTATACTATACAAGCAAGACATATATTAAAAAAAAAGATGGGATTAGCCCACTAGCTCATATGAACATATAACCCCAATGTTTCAGATTGATTCTGGGCTGATCTGACGATCATTGGAAAAGATTTTTTTAATGCTGAAAAACCCTCTGACAATTTTGAGTTCCAAAAATAGTGCATCTTGCAACACATTATCTAAACCGTCCATCTTCAAGAGTTCCATATGTTTATAAATTTAATTGATTTTAATCATTTTTGAGGTTTAAAATTTTATAATTAGATATGAAATTGATTTTAAGATAATCCTATGAATTTTTTATATATAAATTACATGCTATGATTAAATTTGGAGGTTCGCCTTAATTGGATTGTTTAAATTACAACTTCATAAAAACCGCACTATATATATATATATGGCAATGACTTCATGCAACCGTTGGTTGCATATCTCTCTCCCATTGCACATTGGAAGCCTCTTTTTTGGGTTAATAATCGCTCCCACATTCTCCAGATCCTCTCGCTCTCTCTTCATCTTCCACCCTCCCTCTCTCTGCTCTGTGTCCTTCTCAAGCTTACCTCTCTCTAGGAATTAGCGTGGGGAAGTGTGGGCATACGAGAAACAAGAACACCTAGGATCGCCGAATCGGATTTACCATTTTACCCATATGAGTCCATTCTTACCTATTCAATTAAGGACACTGTTTTTATGAGCCCCATTGGTAAAACTCTATTTTTGAGATGGATTTTCAGACATGATAAATATAAATAAATATTAAAACGACAAAAACATCTGGACCTTTAGTTTCAAGATGGATCACCTATTTGCATCTATCTTTAAAATTGATGCTTTTCCTTGGACCCAGAAATGTGGTGCAGGCTGTATGACTCTTATATAATTCATTGGAGCTCCAGTTTTATAGGTATTATATTCTCCTGAGACTAGTCCATCAATTAAAACACTCACTTGGGAAGAATTTGAAGCCTGGAATTTTGGGAACTATCTAGAAATTACTAGATGATCATTTAGAAAGAAAAATAATTTTTTTTAAAATTTTTTGATACTTCGATTCTGCCCTTCAAGATTTGGACGGTCTATGTTCAATGTTGAGGCATTATTGTTTACTAGGACATAAAGAATTCAACCTGGATTTTTATTTTTATTTTTATTTTTATTTTTATTTTTATTTTTATTTTTATTTTTATTTTTATCTTTATTTTTATTTTGTTTTTATTTTTTTATTTACTTAGCTTAGTCTATGGGTTTTAGATATTATATTTCCAATACTTTGGGTCACAAAATTCCCTCTATATTAGGTTACCTCAGTGAGTAAGGACAGTATATTCCCACGGGAGTTTTATTTATATTTAGATTTTATCTTTTATCTCTACTAATTGGGCTCAAATTAGGTATTTATTAAGGATCACACACACCTACATAAATAAATTATAAAATAAAGTATACCCTTGAATACTCCAAGAGAGTTTTGGTTATTTATTATTTTTGAATTTTTAAAATATTTTTATATAAGTGTAATAGTGAGAAGTATAAAGATATTAAATTTGAACTTAATTAAATGAAAAGAAATAAATTTAAAATAAACTATATGCTCTAAAGTTTTGAGAATTAAAATATGAATTATATGGGACTAATTTTAAATTTCAAAGACAAAAAAATCATTTTTCTACAAATTTCCCTATGTTTTAAGAATATTAATAAATTATCAAACTTGTCAACTATTTAGTAATTTACCCTTTGTTAACTGTGTGGAGTAATGTCTATTTTTGAGAGGCATTTTGCAATTAAATAAATATTTGTGTAAAATACTAAACAATCCTGGAATATTAAAAATAAAAATTAGAGGAATCATACATGTGGCATTTTCCATTTTTGAAACAATCTTATTCAGATCACAAAAAGCATATGAGATAATTTTATGGGATTGTATACTATGAGATCATTTATCTTTGTTATAAGGAGGTCATGATTGCTCCTACCCATTTTATGAATGGTTTGAGATGTGTCTAAAAGTTGGAATTTTTTGATTTGAACTCCGATGATCAACATTAATTGTGATCTCCTGGTATAAAACGTAAATTATCTATTAATATCCTTTTCCTAGCATTATTTATAATTCACTCTCAATAACGTTCAAGGTTTTATCTTTCCACGTGAATTATTTTAAAAAAAACTTGAGATGTGCCTTCACCTTAGCAATTTGGCAATTTTTTTATTACTCGCTAGTCACTCTTTCACATTCATAAAGCAAGGCCTCCTTATCTCTGCTCTTAGTTTCTTTATGCATTTGTTTCTCGCCTATTCTCTTATTTTCTCTCTAGAAATGGGATACTATTGAAGACACGAGAAAGCAGAACCCCATTTTAATTAGAATGAACAAAAAGACCTGTCCAATGTTTCCAAAAGGAAATAAGTAGCATCCATTTAAATGACTCTTACCATCCAACCCATCCATGCATTTAAATGGGGTTGGGGGCAATCCAGCAAGTCGATGAACGAGATACGTAGCGTAAGACCTACTTTCTCATATTAACTGTTGATACAATTGATTAAACAAAAGCCTCTAAAATACAATGGCCAAACCAATCAAAGAAGAAAAGTGAGTTCCCCTAATTTCTATAATTACATGGATAGAGAGAGAGAAGGGGGAGAGGGCGGGCAGGGGCGGACGGCGGGAGTTTACATAAAGAGAACAGAGTATAGCCAACTCCCAACACGTTCCTCACAACTTCCAATCAATCCAAATTCTCTAGATAAGTTGACTTGCTCATCTTCAGGTAACCATGATATAACACATTCTTCTATACAGCTCCCATCTTGGTTGCCTCAATGACCAACATAAATTATATACAGTGGGAGAACTAGTCTTCCGATCCCTCCACATTTGGGAAAGCATTAGAACTTAAAGCAGAGAGAGAGAGTGTCTCACTCCGGATGTCGGACCAAAAACTGGAAAGATGGTATTTCTCTCAAAAAAGGAGGAAGCTCCACATCTGCTGGATCGATGGCTGGTATGGCCTTGGAGAGATCCTCAGCAGAGAATGGGATACTACAAAGATAGACAGCATATATGGATTGAAAACTAAAAATTACCACTCAAAATGTGATGTACGAAAACCATAACCTAAAAATCTGTCCACATTGAATCCCAACACAAATGACATCAGATAATATAGTGCATTCAAATCTAGTGGCATCCAGTATCCTAAACATCGTGAGCATTACATAGATACTTCGACAAAAGATCTTGTGTATATACATAAAACATAAGCACGGACCTGCGCTTGCAGACACATATGCATTACAGATCTATGTGTTGTGCATGTGCATATAATGTGTGTAGGCGTGCACATGATAGGCAAATAAATATATCCACAGACAAATCAAGACGTATATTTCTGCATTACATAAACATAAAAACGGTATATATGCAAAGTTATATACAAACAATAGGCCATTGGTGTCCATTGGTGCACACAAATAACACACGCAGATAGAAACAGATACATGATGGTTTATAAAAGACAAATTTTCTATCAAAAAATTTGTGTACAAATTTCTGGGAATATTGACACACATGTAACAACACATGCATGTCTTATGTGGGTGTGCATGTATGTCTTTGTATGCACATAGTTATATAAAACTTACATATGTGTATCCATATATATATTTATGACAAATTTACAGCATATTCCATAACGAAGTATCATCAGCTATAAGAGTGTTAACATTCAATATAAATTTCATGGCTTAACTGACCTCAGATCATCATCCAACAGAAACGAATTTGACGTGAAATTCTGTTCCTTGGAAACAATTTCCCTCATACTGGCAACAACCTGTTAAAAGGATTGAGATGCTAGGGAATCAACAACATACATGAACACAAGCACCCAACCACACACACAACTCACACTCTATCAGAAATAAAAAACGCAACCCACTGTATACAATTGAAATCAAACTTGCCTCATTTGACACACTCTGTGTCCCATATTTGTCATCCCAATACATGGTGCTTATCCGATAGAGTTGTTGTACAGTTAATGCCTGCTCAAGATATCAAAGTTTACAGGTTTAATTAAATTTTTTTTTGAGAGACGGTTAACTTTTAACTAAAAAGCAGAATATAAAAGTAAAAAGAGCAGGTCTAATTAATTTAATATGCTGCTATGCAGTACACACACGCAAGTTGCAAATTAGTAATGTAGAGGCACACACAGTTGGGTGTGCATGTATAGATAGTACCAAAGATGTACATAGCATGTGCAAGAGGATCAATGCCTGTAATTATGAAACATACCGGGCACAGTTCGTTCGTTATTTCATCCAGTGACTTTTTTCTCTTCTGATGTATGACCTGTAATATTCAAGAGAACTAGTAAGAACCAGAGAGATTCAAAAACTTCAGAGTAAATAGTTCAACACACCATTGTATTTGTGACATAAGAACCGATTAATGAGGACTCACCAAAAACCCAACGGCTTGTCTGATATATTTAAGCTCATGCCAAGATGTTCCAGCATACTGCAGTCCAAGAAATAGTCATAAAACGAAGATGAATCCTGCCCTACTTAATTGAGGGACAAAATGAAATTCGATCCACTTACGTCCTCAGAAGCATCATTAATCCATCTTTCTAACTCTGCAAGCCCAGACTTAACATACTCCCCATTGGAGAATGAGCAACATTCACGACGCAATAGAAGACTGCAATGAACAGTTGATAGAACAACAGCACATATATTAAACTGAGTAAAGAGCTCACAAGGTTATGCTGAACATTAGCAGAAATTTGGTTTCAATTACAACTTTTCAATTATTAAACTTAAAATTCAGCCAAAAATAAGCAATATTTTTACTTCAATAAAATTATTGAAACTCTTTGAAATGTTACATTTACAATTAAGACAAAGTTTGGCAAATATTTAGAAATTTTCCACTCTCCTTACTTCTAATAATTTATTTTATTTTATTTCATTTTTTGAAATTGTAACATTGTAGTAAGGAAGAGAGTCTACAGACTACAGAAAATAGGCATCTCGACGACTTTGAATAATTTACCAATAGAGAGTAAATAGTATTGGAAACTTATTCAGAGTTTCAATTTCAAACCATGTATCAGACATCTCTATTGTCAGAACAAAAGAAACAAAAACCCCTCGCACTAGGTTATCCAAAGCCACATAATATTTTAATTCTCGGGCTCCTTTAGGGGCTATTTGAATCCCTGGAAAAAAATGGCTGCAAAAATCTGTTTCATTTGAAACATATTTCTTGAGAAAAGTATTTTCTATAAAATAGAGTTTTGCCAATTGGATGGAACATAGATGCATAATATTTTCATGGCTTTTCTTTTCTCCTTGCTTCGTTAAATGCTTTCGGTTGTATTATTTACTACACTGCCATCAGTTTTTCAAAAAGCGCTAGGCGGCACCTAGGCGGTCAGAGGGGTCCAGGCCGCCCAGCACCTAGGCGGGCGCTCAGAACCTGAGTTGCCAAGTAAAAAAATGTATTATTTTGGGTTTTCTCTACCTAAAATAGCCTCTAATGGGTTTTAGGTTTCAAATAAACCTAAAACCCACAACTTTACCCCTTTAGTATTAAAAAAATGACCCAAAAATACCCTCAAGGAGCTGCGTTTCCACCTCTGGGTGGGGTGGAGGTCCTAGGCGGCCGCCTAGACAGGTTTAGGCAGGTGCCCAGGGATATCCGGCTAGGCAGCCGCCCCGACGCTCGGTGAACTGCTTTTTGAAACAGCGAATGTCATTTTCTTCGTTAAAGTTCAAATAGTTTATCTCTATGAAAATTTTGAGATAGTACTTTTTCTCTCTAAAATTTAATGTTTTCAGGTACTTTCTCTCTCTAAAACTTGATGTAGTTTCTCTCAACAAAATTTGAAGAAAATTTCTCTCTCCAAAACTTAAAATTTGTGATAGTTTCTCCCTCTCAAGACTTTGTTATACTTTCTCTCTCTAAAAAATTTAAAGTATTTCTATCTCTAAAATTTGATGTAGTTTATCTCTCCAAAATTTTAAGATACTCTCTCTAGGAAACTTAAAATTTGAGATAGTTTTTCTTTCTAAAGATTTTGAGATAGTTTCTCTATAAAAAAATTAATGTACTTTCTCTTCTTAAAATTTGCTGTAGTTGTTCTCTAAAAAACATTTGACATAGTTTCCTTCTCTAAAAAATTTTAGGTACTTTTTCACTCTAAAATTTATATAGTTTCCTTCTCTAAAATTTTAAGATACTATCTCTAAAGTCAAAATTCGAGATAGTTTCTCTCCAAACATTTTCAGGTACTCTCTCTCTAAAACTTACAATTTGAAATAGTTTCTCCATCTAAAAATTTGGAGATAGATTCTATCTCTAAAAATATTCCAACACTCTCTCCCTAAAACTTAAAATTTGATATAGTTTCTCTCTAAAAATTTTAATATAGTTTCTCTCTTAAATTTTAATATACTTTCCCTCTCTAACACTTAAAATTTGAGATAGTTTCTCCCTAATGATTTTGAGACAGTTTCCCTCTCTAAACTTTGATATAGTTTCTCCTTCCAAAATTTTAAGATACTTTATCCCTATAAAAATTTTGAGATGGTTTCTATCTCTAAAAATTTTCAAATACTTTCTCTCCCTAAAACTTAAAACTTGAGATAGTTTCTCTACAAAAATTTTGAGATAGTTTCTCACTAAAAAATTTCAAGTAGTTTTTCTCTTTAGCATTTCAAGATACTCTCTCTAAAACTTAAAATTTGAGATAGTTTTTTTCTCTAATTTGTCGGAGTGTTTTGGCACAATTAATTGTATTTTATAAAGTGGGCTGCTCTTTAATGGGGAAATCTGGCTAGAAAACAATTTTTTTGGGTGAAGGGAAGGATACATATTTCTTTATTTTTGGCTTGAATGAGGAAAATAATTTCTGGCAGAAATACTTTCCTATAGCAAACTCTTAATCCAAACCCATAAATGTGTCATCTCCATGAAAAAATATTTGTAGAAATGTATTTCCATAGATCCAAATAGTCCCTTAGTAAAAAGAAGGGATTGTGTACAATGAAACCATTACCTTTACTGCAAAAAGATCACAAACACACCAAAGCCACAGATGCAAAATCAGACAGCTGGATGCTCTACACAAACTCAAGTAAAAATACTCAGAAAACGAGCATGGTCAATGGTACAACCCCAGCGACCCAATTTCACATTTAATGGCTAGGGTTTGTACTGAAGGTAAATGTTATTTGCACACTTCCACATAAAAACCGTGCGATTTAAGAATATACACATCAATAAAAAGACAAAGATGCAGAAATAATCTTACCTATTGAATAGTTGTATATTGATGAATAAGAAAATCTGCGTGACTAATTTCCGTACCAGAAAGGATGGCACCTAAATGCATTAGATCATTCATCAATAATCCGACTGAACAACATCAGCTCCAAGTTTCATTCTAATAATTATCATGGAAGTATGCAATCGATATTTAAAACTGATATCCTTTATAGATTAGATCTTTACAACACACACACACACATGCATGCATACACAAACTCCGAAGGAGGGGTACTTTACACAGAAGTCATGAATACTTGGGCTATATATATTCTTGAAGCAGTAATCCTTTCTTCAAGAGTTCTGATAACAATAAAGCTTCCATGCAAGAATAGGATTAAAATAAATTTTGTTTAATAAATATTAAATTTTCCAAATTTTTCATTTTTAACTACTTAATTTTAGAAGACTTTTCCAAAAACATGATATAAAATTAGTTTATCCAGGGATTTTAGTCCCTCGGTTAAGATTTAATAAATTGTATCTTGATTCACTTAATTGTTCTATTTTCAATCAAATTAGAGAATATGACACTTCGCCATTTTTTTAATCACAAACTTTCATTCGTTTAAAATTACATTGCATCAAATTAAAAATAGGTTGTGCCTGTGATTCACATTGGCAGAGGACTAGTATCAAAATATGAGAGTGGGAGACTTTATTGCTCCCAATTCTCATATATATGATGTGCATAAGCTCGATTATATCGCAAAATTAAAAATGGGCAAAATATACTCACATGATTTTCACGTAATCGGCCTAGAAGTGAATCCAAAAATTTGATGATACTGTCCCAGTGACTGCTGAGTGACAGCTGAGAAGCCCCGCCTGGCGATTTCGATGCTCGGGCACTTGATGCACGTGTGGCTTTTGGAGCCTTCCAGAAGAACAAAAAAAAATCAAAATCAAAATATCCAGGAAGAACATTTCGTTTAGACAATGATTTGTTCTTTCACTTTTGGGCATGTTACTTCACAAGCAGTTTAAAGTTTAAACTGCTTTTGAAGGAAAAAATATGAACTTGCCCATAAGGCACAATTAGCTAGAGTCTTTTCCATGAGAAAACTAAAGAATCATGCATGAAATAACATCAGCTGGCAAGGGAATAAAAATATTTCCTGTTTCATATAAAATTATGTACCAGTCTACTATATTAGTTTGAAAAAAATATTTCATTTATCCTCAGATGGAGCTAAACTTAGGAAAAGATAATCCACGGACCAAAGGATTTGCATATGCTACATATACATCAGGTCAATATTGTAAAAAAACGGTCCGCCCGGCGCCTAGGCACCCGCCTAGGCGGCCAAGAACAAAATATCGCACGCCTCGACCCAGGCGGCCCAACACGGGCGGTTGCACCTGGGTGGGCGTCGAGCGTCCCGTTCTGGGCGGGAGCACAGGGCCGTAAATCGTTTTCGAATTTTAAAAAGGCAAAAGGGGTCATTTTGACCCCCAAGTTTGTATAAAAATGGTAAGGGGTTATTTTTTAACCCCCAAAGTAAAAAAAACAAGACACCCGCAATCTCTAAACTTATTTTTGAGAATTTGAAGAAATTTCTAAGAATCGAAAGTACTTTTTGTGGATTGAAAAAGTTTTCTTTTCTCATTGAAATTATTTTTAGGGTGCTATTGGTGGCATTAGAAGACTTTTGAGTTGATTTGTAGCTCGATTGACGAAACCAACATTGAAGATTAGAGATTGGGCAGAAAAGGTCAGTCTGCAATCTTTATTTGAGTTTTATTTTTCCAATTTGAGATGTCTTCTGCGGGGTCTAGTAGGGGTGGAGATCCGGGATGGAATTATTACGTTAACCAGGATAAGAATGAAAGGAATAAAATTATGTGCAATTTATGTGGACATGTTTCTATTGTCGGCATAAATAGATTTAAGAAACATCTTACTGGTCTTAGAGGTGATGTTGCTCCCATGTAAAAAAGTCTCAGATCTTGTAAAGAAAGATATTTTGGAATACATTGAAGGTAAAAAGAGTAAAAAAATTGCAAACAAAAAGTATATAACAGAATTAAAGTCAGGGGTCCACGATTTTTATGATAATATTGACACTGAATATGAAGATGAAAAGGGGGAAGAAGAGGTAGCCATGGTTGGTACTCAGAGCTCTAAGAACAAGAGTGCTTATGGGTCTAAGAAGCCTCGTATGGGAGGGCCTATAGATAGCTTTTTTACACTTAGCCCTGAGACAGTACTTGGGAAAGGCAATAGAGGAAATGGGAAAAAACAAGCGACAATTGAAAATAGATTTCAGAATGAAGATAGAGCCAAGGTGATTCAGTTTATTGCACGGTGGTTTTACCATGCAGGCATTTCTTTTAACACTGCTCGCTTGAAAAGCTTCCATACAATGTTGGAAGCAATTTGGCAAATTGGGCCAGGTTTGAAAGCTCCAACTCCTTATAAGATTGGAGAGCCACTACTGAAGAAAGAAGTCGAGAATACTAACGAGTATCTCAAGACCCATAAGGAAGGATGGGCTAAATTTGGGGTTTCTTTAATGACATATATGTGGAGTGATAGGAGAAGGAGGAGTAACATGAATTTGTTAGTAAATTGTCCCACGAGTACAGTTTGTGTGCGCTCAATTGTTGCTTCCAATGATATTCATGATGCGCATTACATATTTCTTTTATTGATAAGGGCATTAAAGAGGTTGGAAAGGAACTTGTAATTCAAGTGGTCACAGATAATACTGCTCCCAATCTAGTTGCAAGTCATTTGCTTCGACAAAAGAGGCCTTGCTTATTTTGGACTCCTTGCGCTGCACATTGCATAGATCTTATGCTTGAAGCCATTGGTGAATTGCCTACAGTTAAAGGAACTATTTTTAAGGCAAAGGAAATTACAATCTTCAGATACAGTCACATACTTACCCTTACCATGATGCGCAAGTTTACAAAAAAGAGAGAGCTAGTGAGGCCTAGGGTCACTAGATTTATCACTGCCTACCTTAGTCTAAAGAGCATGTATAAGAGGAGGATCGTATTAAGGTCTATGTTTTGCTTCAGAGGAGTGAAGTAGGTGTAAGTGATTTAGAGATGCCAAGGGAAAGAAGCCACGAGATATTGTTCTTTCGAAATATTTTTGGCGTGGCGTGAAGCATGCGATATTAGTATTTCTTCACTTGGTGAAAATCTTGAGCTTGGTTGATGCTGATAAGCCCTCCATAGGCTTTATATATGATGCAATGGAAAGGGCTAAGAATGAGATTGCAGAAAATTTGGGCAATGATGTAGCTAACTATGCCCCAATTTGGGAGATTATAGATGACAAATGGGATAGGCAGCTCCATAGACCATTGCATGCAGCAGGGTACTATTTGAACCCCAAATTCTTTTATGCAGATGCGGATATTGAGTCAAAAGGGTTAATTATGGAAGGTTTTAACGAGTGCTTTGAGAAATTAGTTCCCGATCCACATATCCAAGATACGATATCAACTGAAGAGCTAATTTCGTACAATGTTCTTTGATGTCATTTGGAAAAGATATGGCATTAAGACAGAGAAACAAAGACGAACCAGGTAGTATACTTTTGACTTTTGTTTTATAAATTATAATTTTCTCTCAAG